TTGTGCTCTTCCTTTTCCTCTTCCTCGAAATGATCCTCCTCGTCCTCGTGATGATTCTCCTCTTCCTTGGAAAGAACCTCCTCTTCCTTGGGAAGATACTCCTCTGCCTTCTTGCTGCTATTTAGAATTTGAATTATAAAATTTCATTTTGAACTCAAATGCTTGCTCAAGTGGCTGATTTGAGAACCTGCCAATTCTTTCTTCATGTACTTGCAGGGAACTCATCAAATCGGTAAAAGTATATTTAGACAAATCTTTTGATTCTTCAATAGCGGCAACAATATAATCATATTTCGCGGGAAGGCTTCGAAGGACCTTTTGAACAACTTTTTTTTCTTCAATTGTGTCGCCAAGGCTTCTGATTTGATTTACTATTTCGGAGACTCGAGTTAGATAGAATTGCATAACTTCATTATCTTTTTTTGATAAATTGTCGAACTCCCTCCAAAGAGATTGAAGCTTTAGAGATGTCACCTTGTCATTGCCATGAAATCCCTCATTTAAGATATTCCAAGCTTGCTTGGCTCTTTTGACACCGTGAATTTGAGGATATATGGTCTTGCTTAATCCTTGTTGTATAAATCTAAGAGCACTTGCATCTCTCCGTAAATTTTTTTTGTAATCTTTTTGTTGAGCCTCCGTCCATTCTTCTTCTTCTTCTTCATTATCATCAGGTTCCGAAAATCCATCTTCAACAACTTCCCACAATTTTGCGCAATGAAGAGTGTCTCCATTTGACTACTCCAATAATCAAAATGCTCTCCTTCAAATATGGGAACTTGGTTAGGAGTATAGGAAAACATGGATGTAGAAACATGATTTGCTGCCATGTTTTGGAGAGGGGAAATAAAACTTGAGATACGTATAGAGAACTAAGCTCTGATACCAAAAATTTGTTGGGGATTGATTAAAAATCGAATGAAAAAGAAGGAATATCGAATGCTCGAAATTATATGTAATATAGTGCTGCTGCACTTTTTATGATTGTAGAAGAGAAGATATTATATTGTAAATTTTTGTGACTTCGATGCTTTTAATGGTTTGAGTTACATGGGTATTTATAGATAAGATTTAACATGTATCTAGCCTAACTTATGAACCAACATTAAATAGATACGTTTCTCCTCCTCTAGTACATTAATGGACAAATGCATGTATAATTATAATTCATGAATCTAGATAATAAATGCAAATTACGTTTCCAACAGAATCGCATAACTTAGAATGAATTAGGACAGTCTAAATTGCTGATTAAGGTAGCAGCTAGTCGATTTCCTTAATTCTTGCTCTTAAACTTGTCACTGAGATGCGTCTTCATATAGATTTCTTCCAGTGGTTTTGTAATATTATCATCGGGTTTTCAGATTAGATGGTGGTGGCACGCGCTTATCACCACTAGCTTCAACCGCGGCAACAGTGGATTTTTGGTTGTAAACATGATGTAAAACTGAAACTATGAAGTTTTCTGGTTAGAACGCCCTGGGATATTTTAAACAAATGGCTCGCACACGATAAGTCAATGGAAGAAATTGACAGAATTGAATGACAGGAACGATTTGCACAACACTTGATGGATCGATTAGAATTAAATTTGACAGAATTGAATGACAGGAACGATTTGCACAACACTTGATGGACCGGAGAATATAAGCAAAGGATTTCCTACCAATTACCCTTTATTAAATGTCCTTCAATAATCAAAATTTGGCATACCAAACTTGTTTAAGAAGTATACAAATATATGAAAATAATGTAGACAAATATGACTCTATTACCAAGAGTATAATGAGCTCGATTTTTTAACCCATTTCGTAGTTAATAATTAAAAATAATATACTAAGAGTTATGTTGTCTTGGTCAAAAATATTGAGATACACCATAAATTTATTTATATCAGCTTAAAAATTCTCATGTTTATAAGAGTTATGTGATCTTAGTAAAAAAAAAAACGTAAGAGAGAATGGTAGATTAAGTGGTGGTTATTATGAAAATCGTGTTACAAGGAAAAATCTGGATTTTACTTAATTAAAAGTTGTAGGAGTTGCTCTAAGAACCCTCGGAAGGCATTGGAGCTTCAAGCCTTACATAATCATAAAGAACACCACAAAGTGCATCTCCACCCCTGGCCTGGTTAAGAAAAATGCAATTGTCTCCTTTGAAAAACAACGATGAGGAGATACTGATACTGAAAAGTCGATAGAGGCCATGTATACCGTGTCGACAAACTGCATTATCTGCACCTAAATTCAGCACTTGGAATACTAGGTGTTTAATATCCATCTGGTTCACATGCACCTGCAACAAAGGAATATGTATATCATCAAATGAGTCCTTAGATTATTTTGAGTTGTTTCTGCATAAAATCTTTGTGTTCACATCATTTCTGTCTTTTCTCGATTTTTCTCTTTGGTTAAAAGCCAGCTTCGTCATGACGTCTATATCAGGAACAGACCCCAGAACGGGCAATAGTACCTGTAAGTCAGTACGGTTAGCTGATGCAATAGCCAATCTCAACTTATAAATTCCTCCAGTAACTGATTTTAAGTTAAACTTGATTCCCCAGGTTGTTGGAACATACTTGTTATCTGCGTTTCTCCTGCAAGTATAGTAAGTTACATGAAGTGCATTTTTCACCAGGGAACGTAAAAATCAGGCCTAAATACCTGTCCACATGAGCAAAGAACCAGTCTTTCTTCGGATCACTGATACCTACTGTGAAAACTTGATCTGATTCAGGATATATGTCTGTGTATCTATCCCAAAGTCCGTATTGTCTGAACCTGTACAGTATGGTTCATGACCATATGTCGATCTGTTAGGATTAAGCACTAATCCCTACTTACGGAAGCAATAATAAATGATAATAAAAGTTGAAAACGAGCAAATCACATCAAGATTTATAGTGGCTGACCTTCAAGTTAAGAGCTACATCCACATAGTTTAACAAGATGGACGTACTTTGAAAGTGTAATAAGAAGTGGATATGATGCTTACTTTTCAGGGCTGTGAAGAAACAATTTGTTGACATACATCGGGTTCACATCAGGAACATAGAAGTCACTGGCAGTACGATCTGGGAACCCAATCTCCCATATGGTTGGACCATCTCTAGGGGGTACATAGATCAAATTTCCTAGTTGTGTTTGGATTCCTGTGAAACTTTAAAACATTAGGGATTAAGCTCTAATCGCTTCTTAAAATAGGTGTAATAAGCAGAAGAAAAATAAAAAGTAAGCATAGCAACATAGATTTACATTGGTTCACCTACAATACATGTTAACAAGAGTTTTCGGTGACGGTTTATACATGTTTACAATAATCTTGTTTTCCTTTTGTCACATTTACCTGCAGAGATGGTCACCCGTTCTTCGCCCAAGTAATCACCAACGAAACCCGGAACCCAGCCATGAAGGCCATACACTCCCGGTACAATGTTCTTGATTGTAAAATTTCCATTTGAATCTGTCTGTACCCAAAATTGGTAATCCTGCAGTCACAGAAATTCTAAAGCATGTTTGGTATGTAGTAATGAACAGTATATACTATTTGACAAACGGCAAACAGTAAAATTTCCAACTTTTATTTGTTTATAAGTTATAACCTTGCTTTCAATTTGCCATGATCCTTCAGTTCTTGCACCTGATAGACCAATATATGCAGACTTTGCTTGAATTAGGGAATCTGAGACAAATCTAGATATATTTGAGAAGAAATTGAATAAGCAGCTAGTTAAAATGTAAAACAATTTAAAAAATAAGCAAGTTATCTATGAAGTTCTTTACCTCTTTCTTTCCTGAACAATATTTATTTCAAAAGGGATGAAATTGTTACCTGTCTTGGACGAGCAGTCGGCCTGTAGCTGAACCGCGCTCGTTGGAAGTAAGATAATATGGTGAAGACACAAAATCATATGGCCATAACGACTCTTCAAATAACCTCTAGGATAAGATCGTCCAAGAAAAAAAAAATGGATTAATAAATTGATATAACGAACTACTGATGCCCAGGAAGAACATATCAATATGTGATGATCTTTGAGTAGATCCAGCAATACGCTGAACAGATGGAGAAAAAGAATTCATATAGCCGATCTCAAATTTTATTAACAATGTTGCAGGCCAACTCAATTGAAACGAAAGAGCTGAAAAATTGCATTAAATAGTACCTGATTCTTTGCATCTATCCATAAATTGTGTGCTTTTGATATATCCGTGGTCGAATTGAGGTATACAAAGAAGGGGCCGAATACTTTCCTCCATGTTTCACCTTCTTCAAAGTGAGCCAAAATATCATTGCCAATGTAATGAGTTCCATGGAACATCTGTGACCCAAAGCTCAAGTATTTCAGCTCGGTTGTTTCGTGTTTTATGCCTTAAAAGAAAAACCACAAGAATTCTTTTTTGCTTTCACGTCAATGTACTAGATGTAGTGACTTGAAGGGAAATTTGATACTAATTAATGGGAGCAAGAGGGAGAAAGGTTACTGCAAGGCAAGCTGGACCAGTATGTGCTGTGAAATTTTGCTTGAAATTCATGGCTCGGAAAGATGATCCAGAAACCGATGATCGGGTGGGAGCTTATCCATCCGTGGACTCCGGCATCTTTGTTATCCATAGAATACTGGTATTTGTCGTCTACCTGATTTATTTTCATACGTAGTACAATCATCAACTTGGATATGCATTTTTAACATTACTAGGCTGCACATGACAAAATAAATTTTCACTTGCCTCTCCTTTGAGGTCTGGATTAATTGGATTGATAAGCAGAACAGATTCAGGTACAATAAGCTGTTTGCTCCTATCTGGGAGAATATCCTCTGGCATTGGCATTATTCGTTGTTTCTCATCTGTGATTGCCATGTAATGAAACCTGATTCAATAGTCGAAGATATAATTCAAATAAATAAGTTCGTCCCCACTTTAACAGCTAAGTTAAACGATATACAAGAGGGAATTCAACTTTTCTCTTCGCAACTTAAACGCCATTCTTGTTTGAGCCAGATCAAAGGCAGGGCATCCTGGAGGACGCTCGCATATTGCGTAGCAGTAGAAACCTGAGACTCCACTCCTCACAATGTATCTGAAAACTAACAATCTGTTATGTTTGACAAATCCTTGTGAAAATTTTGAGGGAAAAGGCTAGTAGTATACCTCAAGTCAACAGTGAGTGGCAGTTTGGTTCCAGGAGTTGAAGGATCATAAGTACTCTTGAATGAAACCTCCACATTATCATTGCTAAAAGTAATCACACTATACTCAGATCCTCTAAGCCTGAATTGGAAATAATAAATTTTTAGATTCTATTCCCCAGAAAATGGCTGACAGAAAATACGTACAACTGATATCTGTCCTGTCCTCCTGGCGAGCTCCAGTTGATATCCCAATACCTGTATGCATGTTCTACCCATTATAAGAACAATAGTTGTGTAATATCAGAACTAATTTTCTTGAATAAAGGTGTTTGTACAGGGCAATTTACAGGTGCTGAAATGACAACGCCTTATTGGCTATTTTAACTTTGATTTTTGTTCAAAATTCCATAAAATGCTGCCATCTGACATTCTGAAATTCCATCTGGCAAATCTGTGTGCTTGTAGCAGTGTTGAATTTTCAAAAAAAAAAAAAAAAAAAAAAAGGTTAAACCCTAACCTTAAGGGTCCCTCACCACCCCTGCCCTGGAGCATCGTGAGGGAGGTAAATCGCAGATTATGCCTCCAAGGGTATAGGGTGAAAGGCTGCTTGTACACTTGCACTTACCCAAGGGCCAAATCCATATTTCAGGATTCGAACTCTTGACGCAGCAGTCTCAAGTAAAGCTGGATTTCTCCACCCTCCTCTTTTACCACTTGGAGATGTGCCCTGGGGGCAGCAGTGTTGAATTTTCGTTATCATCTTTGGTGGTGTTTATTATTTAGCGTGGCTTTGCATCGATTTGGGATTGAGTTAAGTTGTCTTCCGGTTTTGAGTACTTCGTACACTTTTGCATCCCCCTTTTCTATCAGTGAACGTTTCATATCCTCATGCAAACATAGGCTTAACAACCCAAAATATGATTTTCATTTTACTTCTGAATTTCAGCTAAAAAATGTATATCCACAGTTAGATTGTTGTATAGCCATAATAAATATCAAGAAGAAGTAAAGCCACTTTATGCAATATGATATAAAACTGATAAATGAAAATTCTGATTTCTCTAATATGCAACAAAAATCTCTGAAAGTTACCCTCTATTCAATTCATTTGACTTGATATCTAGGAGATTACCCATTCCTCCATACTTTATGCCAGTCAATAGTCCTTGTGGTTTTGATATAGTCAGCCTCACCACTCCATTACCCAGTATAATCTGCAAAATAGTGCATATTTTTTAGTGGGAAAGATTCAAGGATATAATCTGCAAAATAGTGCCTATTTTTTAGTATAAAAGATTCAAGGATAAAATTCGGCATCACTTAAAAGGTAATTTAGGCTAATTCTCTTAATAAGAATACTAATCACAAAAGTATTGACCTTTTAAGATGAAACCAAGTGTCAATAAACAAGAGGGTGTGGGGTGAGTGGAGGGCTTAGCTTACATAAGACCTTTGGGTGATCAAAGTCACATTTTCCTTTGCCATAATTGAAGTTGGCTTCCTCTGTTTCCTCTGAAAATGTTGAAGCTTCAGTGATTTTGGTTTACTTGTATATTTATGCATAGGGAAAAAACTTCGAACAAGAAAAAGTATAAGAAAGCAAGTTTATAGGCTGTTTCTTGTCTTATTGTAAGTGAATACATTTTTTTTGTTGGAATTCTTGTTAATATCAGCTATAGAATAAGATATTCTTGATCTTTGCTGTGACAAAATTAAGAATGTTTTCATTGACAATGCTATCTTCACATTAAATCCAATCTAGTATTGGTTGAAAAATGTTGCACACCACACAAGTGGGCTTCGTAAACTGATATAAGTAATACAAATATTGAATAAGAAAACAATAGATTTAATGTGATGTCGACACGTGTAGCAACGCTATCTCATTGGAGTGTGGCAAGTGATGATCATGCATTAAAAGGGAAAGTATGACATGATAGTTAGAGATAATTTTTATACCGTCGATTCTAAATTAACGTATTTACATTTTTCACGTAGTGTTTCTCGATATTATATTCTACATTTCACATTAGTCCATTTTCCATAAAGAGATACTACAAGATGTTTTTGTTAAGTTATTGTTATAATTTTTATTTGTCGTTATTATGAGAAATGATTGCCAACCTTCCATGTGTATATCTCGATCTATTCAAATGCAATATTTAATGTTTATTAAAATGACAAATTAAAATTTTATCAGTAATTTCAAAATTTATTACACAATACTATTTATTAGCAAACTAATTAATAAATAATTTTAAGATTATTACTTAATTTTTGGCTACAATATAAGACCCAAAAATATAAAAATAAAAATTCCTTAAATGCGTTTCCAAGCCGCATCCTCTTCACCAAACAAAGACAGAATTGACCCAATTGGGTAACTGAAAATCTCCGCTCCACTCAGTGAGGATGGGCCTCGATTCAGCGGAGAAAACCTCCTCCACCCACAACATCCCACCAACCATTTCCATTTTTATATATTATTTTTATCATTATATAACATATTATCTATTACCTATTACACATATATATACTCACTCCTACACCTGTACACCAAATATATTTATCTGTGCCAAAGATTCTGAATTAGGTTCCAAGAATACCATTTTCAAGAAAAAGGAACGTTTTTAGCTTTTGAATCAGTAAGTGATCTTGAATCTCTTGTCTGAATTTCTCAATATAAGGATTTTCTCATTTTTAGATGCTCCCAACTGCATCAAGTTTGTGTCTCTTATGCTACTCTGTATATACTTCTTTTGTTTATGGTGTGAGAGATCTATTTCTATGAAATTTGATTTGGGTAGGAGAATGAGATTTGAATTGGGTTCTATATGTTATTTAATTTCATTGGTTATGAGGTGATGTCTGTGTATGATACAGAAGGGAATTCTAACTAGAATCCTTTAAAATATATGAGAAATATAGGATTTTGATTACCTTGATTTGACCAGATTTTGATATTATATGTCTATGATGATTGCAGAAAATGTGTACGTATTGAACTATCAATTCTATGATCTAATGATAAACTGAACCCAATGCTAAAAGCTACTTCTACAATTTGTCACCTTTAAAGAGGTTTGGTTCTTGACATTTTGCTCAATGAGTTTAATTTTATAGACGAATGACCATCACCTGATTTGTTTTAGCTCCAGAAATAATTATGCATATGTGACATTTATCAAGGTAAGGATTTTGGCAGAGAGAGAGAGGTGTGAGATCATTGTTCTAATATTCTTCTTTATAGTGAAAATTTTGTCACGACAAGTTGAATTAGTATCACATTGAGGGTGAGTCTCTGAAATTTGTGTGCATGCTTGTTATTGCACTTTTGTTAATTGGGATAAGCGATGAATCCCTAATATGATGCCTTTATCAGACATATACAAAGATGAGGGGAGGGGGACTGTGGCAACTTGGTCAATCAATTACTCGTCAATTAGCTCAGGCTAATAAGAAGACTATCACTCGTCGATGCTTTGCATCCGAAGCTGATCTGAAGAAGACAGTTCTGTATGACTTCCATGTCTCCAATGGGGGAAAGATGGTGCCTTTTGCTGGCTGGAGCATGCCAATCCAGTACAAGGACTCAATTATGGACTCTACATTAAACTGTAGGGAGAATGGCAGCCTTTTCGATGTTTCTCATATGTGTGGTTTAAGTCTCAAAGGGAAGGACTGCATACCATTTCTTGAGAAGTTAGTGGTTGCCGATGTTGCTGGTCTTGCACCCAGGACGGGGACTTTGACAGTTTTCACAAATGAGAAGGGAGGTGCAATTGACGATTCGGTGATAACTAAGGTGACAAATGACCACATATACCTGGTTGTTAATGCAGGATGCAGAGATAAAGATCTTGCCCATATTGAGGAACATATGAAGTCATTCACATCGAAAGGTGGTGATGTCGCTTGGCACATCCATGATGAGCGGTCCCTTTTAGCCCTCCAGGTCAGTTAATCACATTTCTACCATTATCGTTATCCTTGTTTTTAGCTTCCGTTGAAAGTTTTAGCTATTAAACTTAAAAAGGAATATAATAAACGAGACCTATTTTAAGAAATTCTCAGGCTGTTGGATTTTCAGTTTTACTTTTTCGTTGTCGTCTTCCATTGTTTTTGTTTTCTTGGTTATTTTTTCTCCAGGGTGTTAATGTTTGTTTTTTGAAGGGACGTTCACAAGAATGTTAAGAGTGTGTGTGTGTGTGTGTATAGCTTGTTATTCTTTAAGATCTCGTGCTTATACGACTTCTCCTCGTGTCTGGTGCAGGGTCCCCTTGCGGCCCCAGTTCTACAGCACCTGACAAGAGATGATTTGAGTAAGGTTTACTTCAGTGACTTTCGCATCTTGGATATCAATGGTGTTTCCTGCTTCCTTACGAGAACCGGGTGTGTTGCATTTCCTCAAGTTGTTTGTTTAAATAATTGCTGTCTTAAAAATTAAGAGGGACCAAGAGATCTTAACATCTGACAATTATGGGAGAGTCGATTAGATTTTTATTTATTTACCTTTTCATGTTTCTTCAAAACTTGCACAATTTTCAGAAGTTAATTCTATGCAGTTCTTAGTGTACTCTACTAGAAAGAAAAAGGAGCAGAAATCTTGTTCGCTATATTGTTGAGTTCTGTCAACTACTGCTTCTTTGAAAGTTACTGACATCGAAACTTTATGAACTTTCAGGTATACTGGTGAAGATGGCTTCGAAATTTCAGTTCCTTCAGAGCATTCTGTTGATCTTGCTAAAGCTATTCTGGAGAAATCGGATGGTAAGGTACGGTTGACAGGTTTAGGTGCCCGAGACAGTCTTCGACTCGAAGCTGGATTGTGTTTATATGGCAACGACATGGAGCAGCACATAACACCAGTGGAGGCAGGACTTACATGGGCCATAGGGAAGAGACGAAGGGCAGAAGGAGGTTTCCTCGGTGCTGAAGTAATACTCAAACAAATCGAAGAGGGCCCAAAAATAAGGCGAGTTGGTTTTATCTCTTCAGGTCCCCCAGCCAGAAGTCATAGCGAGGTTCAAGACGATAAAGGACAAAACATAGGAGAAGTCACCAGCGGAGGATTTAGCCCCTGCCTAAAGAAGAACATAGCCATGGGGTACATAAAATCTGGACAACACAAGGCGGGGACGAAAGTTAAGGTTGTGATTCGGGGAAAGTCCTATGATGGACTTGTCACGAAAATGCCATTTGTACCCACAAAGTACTACAAGCCATCCTAATTGTATGTTGATTCTTGAAGTTTTTCGAATTCCCTACTGTTACCTTTGCCTTTCTTGGTGAACTGATTGTGTTGCAATCAAATCTGATGGGTGCAATTAAAGGTGTTTTATGAGTTGCATGCCAAGTTATTTTCTTCATGTATGTTTATCTTCTAGATGTGTTGATTAGTGGACACAATAGATCAAGTCGTACATTGGACAAGATTTTAATTTTTATTTTTATTTTTTAATAGTATCTGATGCAGTCCAATTCACTCTACTTAACATGTTATTGTCAATTTGATGGTTATTTTCACTAATATCTTGAGTCTTTGAACGCGAAATTTGTATTACGTGGCAAAAGAATTTTTTTTCCCTTTTATATTTGACAAAGTTGATGAAGTGGGAGAACAAACAAAAAGGGTGAGATCATTTATCATAGAGGGAAATTAATTATTATCTAAAAGTAGAGACTTTTTAAATATAGGATATTCTCTATTTTGAAAGGGAAATCTTAAAATTATATTTCAAGAAATTCTTTAAATCAACATTTTAATTCAGCACCCGTTTAGATTTAATTATTTGGTATTATAATTTTTAGAATAGTATTTTTTTTTTTTTTAAATGTGTTGTTGAAAAAGAACGAAATTTTTTTGATTTACTGTGATATGTTTTTTATGAAAGATTGTGGTGTAAATAAGAAAGAAAAATTATATTGTGAAAAATGGGGGCCAAAAGTGGGATTAGAGAGTGGATTTGACTCTTCAAATTTAGTGAGCTCACTCTTAATAATTAAATATATTCAAATTATTCCAATTATCAATAGAGAAAATAATATAATAATTTGGAGGGAAGTCGGTAAAAATAAAAGATTATAAAAATAATAATTTATTTTTTGAGAGTATTAAAATTAAATGTTAAATATAATGAGTCCATTGGAGTATTTAAAAATTTTACTTTCTAAATTTATAGATACTCTTTAAGTCCCCGTTTTGGTCCCCATTAATTTTCATTTCATTACATTTCATTTTTTTATCCTATTTTCAATCACATAATCTTTCATAAAATAATATTACACGTAAATCACAAATTTCCTTCTTTTTCAACCACTCATTTTTCAAAAAAAAACACTATTCCAATTATTTTCATCTCCAAAAAATAGGGGCCAAACGTGGGCTTGTAGACTATATTATTTAAAAATAGAGAATCTTTTAAAGATGTTATAATAATATTTTAATATATAGATTATAAAAAGTAGGATCGTTGACCAAACAAATCAAAAGGGTGTTTCACCTAAAAGTTGTATTCACAAATACAAACCTGTAGCTTGTACAGAAAAATTCTGCCAAAATTTTGTCAAAAGATACTTGACAGATTTTTATTGGACATGGCAAAAAGAAAAAAATAATAATAATAATAACAGACCAACCAAATGCTGCCACAACAACATCCGATGAAATTCTGGCTGGTTTGCTTCTATACATACAAATATATATGGTCACAGATATTTGTATTTAGCATCTCCTCAAAATTTAACTAGATTGTGAAAGTTTTTGTTTGTCTTTTAGCATTATTGAGAAAAACTAATGTTTTGAATAGTGATTTTTCAAATAATGTGGGGTTAAAAAATATAAAAAGGTTTTAGGTTTATATGTAAAATATTTTATTGTGTGAACGTATTGTTAAAAATAAGTATGAAAATTAAAAAATTTTGTTTTAAAGAAAGATAAACATGAGCTTTGGATTAAATGTTACACGTAGAAAAAATTCATAATTATGATCATTTAAGAAAACAATTGGAAAATTAACAAATTTATAAGAAACTTTGGAAGAAAATCAGGTGGTATTTACTATGGTTTGTTATGATAAATGATCGTGACTTAGTATGATGTCTAACTGTGACACAATCTTGTGACATGTTAGTTACATTCATTTGATCACTTGCTTTTTGAAAAAAAAAAAATGTTAATGTCTAATTAACGAAATTAAAACTTAAACAACGTGATTTCGAGTTATTTTCTTTTGCAAGAACGCATGACGTTGTGTAAAAGTTGTACAAAATGCACATGGCTCACAAGTATGAACATTATCCATTACACTATTCTATTTTCACAACTTCTCGTTCTAATTATTAATTATGCCGATTCGGACCATTGATGTAAACAAATAAAAATAGTTGTGACTGCATATATAATTTTTCCTTGGAAGAAGGTGGAGTCGAATCCACGTTCCAAACTAACGGTATTTTTGGATAGAATTGGACAAATTATGCCAAGAATATAAAGGTTTGGATAAAAATGAAAGATGAACAAAAATTTGAGACCATTTGCGCCAATTTTCCAATTCTTTATGAATTCATCAATTCGATTTGACCGTTTAAAATGATAGGATTGGGGAAAAGGTGGATCTTGCTTCTTGCACACACGAAGTTGTAAAACCCTAATCCCATTCCTCTTTCAGGTTTCATCTTCTCTGATAAGTCTATACTCCTCCTAAAAACCCATACCTCTATTTTTCTGACAACACCAAATCTCAGAGAAAAGGAATAACAAAATGATCCAATTACTTTTTACTCTGATATTCATGGAGATTGCAATAACTGTGATGTTCGTGTTCAAAACGCCATTTAGGAAGCTGGTGATAATGGGCCTGGACAGGGTCAAGAGGGGACGCGGTCCGATTGTGGTCAAGACTGTGGCGGGGACTATTTTTGTAGTGATGATGTCCAGCGGGTACAATGTGGCGGCGATCCATAGGCGTTGGATTGATGATGGTGACATCAACTCTACTGACCAGATTCTTCTTGCTAAGCATCTTCTTGAAGCTTCTCTCATGGGTAATAGTTCCAAAAATATTGTTTTGTTTTTCAATTTGGTCATTTAGTTTATGAAAAATCCAAAATTATGCTGCACTGACCTATACGTTATAACTGTTTATCTGTATGTATTGGGATCCATTGGCATTTTTATATCAGGTTTATCATCAATCTTTATCAGTTTTGAAATGTTATATATTTATTATAACAAGGATTTTGAGTATTTCTTTTTGAAAATCAGGGCTTTAGCAAATATTTGCTTTGAAAATTGGATATTTTTCTTGTTGTAAGCTTTACAATTGTCAGATCTTTGATCAAGAAATGAATCGAGCCCCTCCTGCGACTGTGCATGTCGAATTCATTTGTATTCAGTTCATGTCAAAATTAATATCCAATCATAAGTTTTGTAATTTTATATATCATAAACATCTATTATAATCTACTAGTGGGAGAGAGAGTACCACTAATAGTCTAATGCCGGTGCTTAACTCACAACCTGAGGAATTTGTTTTGAGAGTGTACTTTGCAGAGTGCATAGTAAGTCAAGCTTTAGCTCCGATCAGTGTTTATGTCATATTACATCAAAATGCAAATTTCCTTTATCTCTCTGTTGGAAGACGAGCAAATCAGAAGATCCTTTCTATTGGCCAGAACGAAATTAGATCTTGTGGAATCATATTGAATATTTGACGATACATTTGTGTACCTTTCTAAAGTGTTTACCTCCAAGTATGATTCAGCAATAATGGCGGAAATGTGAAAGCTCATATATACAAATTTATTTTTTGAATTTGAATCTAGTGACAATGGTTATTTTATAGTTTACAGTTGGGAAGGAAGTTTTTCCTCCAAATCCTGTAAACATGGGACTTGAGATAGCAGATTTGCAATCATTGTCACTATATTATTCCTGCATTGACTGAAATTATGGAAAATTATTACATGCAAAATAAATATGTGGACTGTATTTATATGTGACCTTTTTTTAATTTGTGCAAATTTGTTGCAGGATTTTCTTTGTTCCTGGCATTTATGATTGATAGATTACATCATTATATCCGAGAACTTCGCATAAGAAGGAAGAGCATGGAAGCTGTAAAGAAACAGAACCAAGCTTTTGAGAATGGAAAAACTCCAGGTTCAGACGAAATCAAAGCTTTGGAACAAAAGAAGACTGCATTGCATGAAAAGATTATGCAATTGGAGTCAAAGCTCGAGGAAAAGATTAAAGAGGCAAACAGTGCAGAAGCCAATGCTACAGCTTTAAAGAAACAATCAGAAGGATTTCTTCTTGAATATGATCGTTTGCTCGAGGAAAATCAGAACCTTCGAAGCCAGTTGCAATCTCTAGATCGAAAATGGTCTCATTCCAATAGCAAAAAGGTTATTTAAAGAAACATGTCTGTGTTTTTGTTGATCTTTTCTAAATTTTGAGTGTCTTGCAGTTGATGTTTTCACAGCATGGTATATTGTGGTTGTAACTCGGCTCTTCAATGGAAAAAAACGTAGAAAGAGAAAAAAAAAAGAAAAAAAAAAGTATATCCATTCTGATGATTTACTGAATTACTCGTTCCAACAAAATTGTAAAATTATAGAAGGGAGAAATATATATATATATATATATATTTGGAAAAGTATTATTGCGATGTTGGTTCAATCGATCTTCTTGATGTTGTATTATAAATTTGTAGTACCGTTTACCTTTCTAGTAACTACATAGTAAGTCAATAGGAGTGTGCTTTGGCACCTAAGCGGTAAATATGAGATGGAAGTTACACAAATGGGATTAAGTCCCCAGCCCTTGGGTTCGCAGCGTGGGCTGGGCATCAGGAGGGAGCTAAAAGGGAAAAATGATGGTAGGATTGAAGTTTGAAAGATGGGACATTGTTGAGATAGCTACATATAGAGTAAAAATAGCTCTCTTTTCATTCACGAAGTTAAAAATGTGTATTTTTAGCCCATTTAATTGATTATGAGTATCGGGTTTTGACTTTTGACTTGCGGTTAAAAAGTTAAGTAAAAATTATGGGTCCTAAGAAATTTGAATATAAATGAAGTTTTACTAGTTTATAAATATACATCCCTTGAAAGACAATTATAAGCTTTGACAAACATACACTTAACCTTTCCGTCGAAAGGAACAAGGTAAATGAGATTTTGATAGATATAAGAAGTGTCGCTCCTTCGAATAGCCCCTGTTCAATAACCTAAAGAGAAATTGGGGGAAAATCATGGGCGGACCCAAGGGGGGGTTCTCGGGGGCACGTGACCCCCCAACTTTTGAATTTTTTTTTTCTTTTTTTAATTAATCATGTTTGGTATCAATTGAAATCTTAATTTTAATTTAAATCAAAGTTAACAATTAATTTTAATAATATATTTCATGAAATTCTTAACTTTTTTAATTTTTTTCAAAATATACTAAAAATATAATTTTAATCTCCACTAAGTAAGAACAAAATCATAATAAATTTGAATTTTTTTACATTTCTTTTACTCTATCTTACGCACTCCCTCACGCCTATTATCAAAACATTAATCCTTCTAATTTTTTTTTTTAAATTTTGTTTATAACTTTTCTACAAATTATTACATCTACAACAAATTTTCACTTTTCAATCAAATTTGGATTTTCTCCTATCCCATTTGTGTAAATAGAATGTGTGTGAACTAATTTTATCCAATTTACTTATATTTAACGAATTGTATTTATTTGATTGAATATTGGTTATATATTTTTCTTTTCAATCACTTGAATTGATTGTTTTTATTAAATATACTATAATTTTTTTTAAATATAAACTCATATTTTTTTGTAATGAGCAAATTATTAATAAAACGATTTTTAGAAATCAAATGGATGAAAATGATTAACAAAATATTAATAAAGAAATTTTTTTAAAATGTAAATTTACTATTTCTCGAGTCGAGTATAAATCATTTAAAAATTAAGAACAAAGTAGTCGATTTTGTAAAAAGTTTGATTGTGCCTCCCTAATTAAAAAATTCTGCGTCCACCCCCGAAAAACTATATTTTGAATAGTGAATTTTTGAAGAATGTGCAGTTAAAAAATAGAAAAAAATTAGTCTTATATACAATATATTTTATTATGTGAATGTGTGATTAAAAATTATTATAATAATAAAGAGATTTGAAACAACTTTCCTATTTTATGTTTATATAACACCAAAAAATGAAACAAAAAATATCACAAAACAAGAGTGATTCGGTGCTGCTAGGCGTACAGAAAGGGGGTTCACAGGGGAATCTGACCTGGCTGGGAAAAAAAAAGAAAAATAAAATAAAAAGGACAAAAACCGTTTGGAAATCGGGCAGTCCTCATTTGGCTTTGAACATATTTCCCCCAATTTCAAAACCCTTCCCGACTCTCCTTCACTGTTTCCACCGGCCTCCATAAAAGACGGCGAGACAACACCATAAAAAGCATCTCCAGCTCCGGCCATCTTCAAAATAGGTGAAGAAGAAGAATAGTCCATCGTCAAATCGAGGATTCGTGGAAATCGAAAAAGTTCAAACGTTGCCCATCTTCCACCGCCGCGAAGCATCCTCCACCGCCCAACTGAAAACGACATATTTTTCTAGTCTATACATCTCAAGTAAGTGTGTGACGTCTAACCTTTGGTCAAAGGATGAAATCTCTATGACAGCCATGAAGTCACCGAACTGAAACGAAGCGAAATTGTTGAAAAAACATTTGTAAAAATAATGGAAGGAATTAAATAGGTAGTTTTTGTTTGTGTAATTAAAAGTTGAACAAACAAATTGATTCATATTACTTTCATCTGGTTGTTGTCGAATTCAATCATGTGGAACTGATTTGAATCTGATTTCTTTGAGCACTCTTTGAAATACATTAAAATTAAGTTTCAATAATCTGATTATTCTTCATGTCGTTTAATACATTTCAGTTTATTAAGTATCTAAATAGCCATCTGTTATTTGAATGTTAAACTGCATAGTGCATACTCTGTAGCTGTGTATTGTGCACTAGTAATTATACATGAGACTGTAAAAATCTCAACTTCCCATGGGTCATAACATTGAGACAGATTTATGCTTATGCAAGTGTTGCACGTATCCCAGTTTAAAGAAGTGCAGAACATCATTTTTGTTTTAGCTTATTTCATTCATTTGCAGTATGGGACATGTTTGTCTAGCTTTATGATTTTGATAGAAATCAAAGATAGAGGTCTCATATATAACATTAATTGAAGCGAGTCTTGTGGAGTTTAGTTTATTGAACTGTTGACATAGAATAATTTTCAGTTTAAGTATGATCAAAGTGACACTATCAAAATATATTATGTAACTTCATTCTTTGTTGTTCATCATTTCGGCATGAGAGGAAGGAATGTTGGCATATGTCACAGTTGTCGAAGCAAGTGGCACTCATTCAAGGAATGCATGAGAAAACGTCGTTGCCCAAGGCGTCCACATGGATTTTAGAAATGTTTTGAGGTTGAAAAACAAACACGTAACAAAGGACGACTATTCAACATTTGCAGTAAGAACTGCAAATTTTTTGACTGGGTGGATGAAGGAGAATCAAGCTAACAGTGTAGTAACTTCAATGAGGTGATGCCAGAGAATGAGGAAGTTGAAGATTTTCCAAACATGCTTGAAACTTTGGCCCGAATAATTGAGAAACGAGACGTTGAGGTGTCATTGCAAGTGACATTCCGTAAGGGAAGAGGATACTTGGACTGGAATGGGAAAGAAAAGGGACCAACTTGTTTATTAGTAATTTTCGTTAATGGGTTGTTCAAGTTTTATTTGTAATTTGAAGACTTCTGTGGCATTATTATGTATTTTGTGTCAAACAAGAATTATGTTAAATGCATCTGATGCTTGTTTGACTTATATGTGCTTTTTATAAGCGATGAATGATAGATGCAGGAGATTTATTATCGGATGTCAATAGGAATTTTTACATGTTTCCTAAATCATGAAGTATTCATGTTGGTTTATATATGTTGAAAAAGATAACTGCAAGCATTAAGTCATTTTTAAGAGCTCCAATCATATTGCTTGGCATTGGTCATCATGTTTAGCTTAGTCCATTTTCTTTGAAATGTTCAAAAACAGATCACTTTTCCCTGTATCACGAAATAACCAAAGCAAAAAGCCATTGAGGCAATAACCCTTCGCCAAAATCAGCTTTCATTTAATTTCTTGCAAACCCGATAACAAGAAAATTATGAACTTCAGAAAATTTCAAAATTAGGCCCAACTTGGAAATGTATCACATCATTTGGGTCTGTGAACAAAGAAACAAAAGTTATACCATTTATTATAAGGTCTAAACTCCTATTCTTCATGTATTCATACACAAGTAGCCGCTGATCTCCATCGGAGCAACACCCTAGAAGGCGGACTAGGTTCTTGTGTTGTATACTGGTGATGATCCTCACCTCTGCTAGGAATTCTGATTCTGTTTGCTATGATTTGTCAACGGATAGTTTCTTTACAGCGACCAATCTCTTGTCTTCTAATTTTCCCTATGAAAAGAAGGAAGAAAAATTAATATTTTTTGAAGAATATGTGGTTAAAAAGTATTGAAAATTATCGAGTCTAATCTTTCACAACATCAAACATGTTATATTTGACAACCATGTGATCATTCAAGAATTAGTTTGCATTAAACCAATTATTTGAATAAAACATGAATGCAGGGGCTTGATCCGAAGAGTACCGCACGCCTATTCGCCAAAGCAGAATGCTTAGGGGAGAAACGAATAGGAGAGGACAACTGCTTCGTCCTAAAAGTGGCGGCAGATCGGGATGCAGTAATAGAAAGAAATGAAGGACCAGCCAAAGTGATCCGGCAAGTGTTGTATGGTTATTTCAGCCAGAAAAGCGGGCTTCTCATTTACATGGAAGATTCTCATTTTACCAGAGTCCAGTCTCCAGACGATACCATAATGACCATAATGACTCTGCATTATAATTCTCAAATTCTCTTAAAAAATGTAGTGCCACAGAACCTGAATAACAAATTTCCTAGCAAAGGAGAATTAAACATATAGCTGCCAAATTGGATTTCATTCACGTTATGGCCCAAATTGAAGCAACAGATCTCAAAAAACCAATTTAAGCATACATGTAATACCTGTTCACCCAGCTTTAAATAGCTAAGTTCGGTTCCCTTACATCCAAAATCCAAAAAAGGAAGTAGATTATGAGTAATCACATCTTCCCAAAACCTCCCTTCAAAATCACACTGCTCCTCGTACCGCAAAAAAACTACTGAACCTTTCTGAAATTCATATGGTTGGACCACCTTGTGGCGGCATATGTGTGTAATAGTAGGGAAACGGATGACCTGTTCAACAATACAAAAATTATCCACCTGTTATAAGAAATTCTATACAAATGTCATGAATTATCCTTGGCCTTACCTTGTGGACCGAATATGACACTTGGTGGGATAACATCCGATGTTGGCAATGGTCGTGTACATGCATGCATTTCAGCGTCGCCCTACGTAAAACAAAAAAATAGACCTTAAGTAACACCTACAACAAATAGTCGAACTATATGACGATACTTACCAACAATAGTTGTGAATAGGAGAACGGTGTCTGTGACGAGTATTGTTCTTACGAAGCTACAAATTCAGATGCAACCTCTTCCTCATTACCGTGCCTCGGTCTCGGTCTCTTTCCTTTGCTTGACGTCAAAGATGCCTACATGCAAAAGATAATTAAATTGCAATACAAATTCACAACTTTCGACAAATAGAGATGGAAAATGATGAACAAACCCGTGGTTTCTTGGACATCAACTCCAACGGACTTTTTTTCGAAGTCTTCGGGGTGCCCCCTTCCTCTTTGCAATGTTCGGGTCTAGTATGACGTCATTCGTAGTAATTTGGGATGGCACACACTGAAAGGATAACTGTACAGTCTATTGCATCACGCTATTCCTTGCATCACAGGAATTTCTTGTCATAAGCTCTTTTGCTTGCAATTTTATCCAGTCTAATATCGCACGTGCCCGGCCCTCGTCCTCTGCAACAAGGTCAGCTACCTCTGCAAAAGCTTTGCACATACTATCGTACCTCAACTGTCCAGGGGAACTGACCAAACCATCATAATTCACTGCAACCCTTGTGTAACACCTGCTGACGTCCCTCCTCTACCGCCGCAGTGTATAATGCTCGGGCAACTGCGTGACGTCATTACGAATCAATACCGCGATCGCATGTTTGCAAACAATATCTCGGAACTCAAAGAAATGACAACTGCATATGAAGTCAGCTGTCTCTTTTTGGAATGAGACAGAGAACATTTTCTTCTTCCTCTGCTCACCGTAAAGGACATCCTCACACACCGCATACGTGGTCTCATGAGGTCCCTCAGAAGTAGATATGAGATCATAGTATACCTTACCCTTGAATTCATTGTGGACTTCCCTGAACTTAGAAATGGTATAAACCGACTGAAAATGCTTTTCGATTTCGTAGTTTGTTGCACACGGTATAGTTTGTGAGTATGACCTAAAATTCGCCTGAAACTCCTTTTCAACCTTATCCCTGAGCGCTCGTTCGTATAGTTCTACAAATTGCTTCAGCGAGGTCTTGGAATGGACATAACCATCGAAGAATGCATTCATACTCTCGCTGTGTTGAGTTGTGGACATCCCTACCCAAAACGTGGTTTTCAAAAAGTAGGGAACCCAACGAGTTCTATTAACATACAACCCCGACAACCATTCGTTATCCATCAAGTCATATTTCTCGATCATCTGTTTCCACGTTGATTCAAATTCTTCTATATTCTATGAATCATATACCAACTGATGTATCATCAAAAATATTGCAGCCTTATTTACATGGTATCCGAACTTCTCCGGCAATTTTTTCAAAATGTGCCATAGACACCACCTGTCTGGTATCTGGGAACACGATCTCAATAGCATTTTGCATAGTCCTATCTTGATCAGTAATTATTCCACAGGGGGCTCTACCATGCATACACTGAAGCCACGTCCTAAATAGCCAGACAAAGGTATCTGTGTCCTCGTTTGATAACAACCCACAACCGAACAATATTGATTGACCGTGATGATTCACACCAACGAAGGGCACGAACGGCATGTCATACTTATTTGTTAGATAAGTGGTGTCAAATGTGACTACGTCACCAAACTCCATGTAAGCTTGTCTACACCTATTATCGAACCAAAACACATTTTTCAGGCGAGACTCATCGTCCACATCAATACTGAAGTAAAAACCCGAGCATTGTACTTGCATTTTTGAAAAATAACACTGTATTGCGGCCGCATCTCCCTCCCCTAGTCGTAATCATCTCACCTGCTCAATATAATTGCGACAGTCCCTTTCCACACACGTCATGTTCTCATATCCCCCTGCTTCAACAATCGCTGAGTTGAAACTTTTGTACAACGGAATTCCTGCGAAGTCATTCACTTCAAGTTTTCGTTTCACATTTGCACTCAACTCTCTATTGCAGCGATACAACCTAGACTTGGAAGAGCTAGTTCTATGATTATGCTCAAGGTGGACTGTATTAATTCTCCACATGCCATGACTATATGAAGAACTAGAGATCCTTGCTTTACAATTCGTCTGACTGATTGGTTGTGGATTTAAAGAGCCACTTGCATTAGTCGTTCTCTGACCTTCACGACTATATGTCAAGGTCACATATTTCAACAATTCATCATCCCCCTTCTTCGAGTTTCTTCTTCGGACTGGAAAACCGACATCATAAGCATATCTCTTATAGAAGTCAACCAATTGTTTCTCGTCATTGAACATCATACCCACCTTCGGCAAGATCGGCCCATTGTGTCCCAATGTTTCTTCTTCCACCCTGATGGCATTCTCTGCAACACTGTCATTATCTAGTGCCGAAACAAGTTCATCAGTCCCGTGTTCCATACTTCCTATGCTGTAAGAAAATAAGATGTAATGTAGGTCATCACATAAACTCTAGTATGTGTGTACCAAAAATATGTGATTTTCTATCAATGTTTGTGAATAAGCATCCCAAATGTTTGTCAGTAAGAAAAAAAAAGTATACTTGCATTCCATTTACCTTATATTTTTCCTTCAATTTGCATGTTTGCTTGCTTGTTTATGTGTGGACTATCACAACTTGATCGAGAATAAATAAGATCAGCCAGGTTTCCAGAGGATGATCATAAAATGTATTAGTAAATACCATAAAGTGGTTGGGACCCTATTTTCGCACGCAAATTCCTATTTTCATGGTCAATCAAAAAGTGCCTACCTACGAAATATTTCATTTAAAATACGTTCTTCCTACCTTAATTGTCTAATTTACTTTGGTAGAAAGGGGCTTGTTTTTCTTTATCCTCTTCCTCAACCCTACCCTCGTCTCCTAAGTTTACTTGAAAGCTGCTCTTGAGCGAAAAGAAGATGCCTTATTGCATGAAATAAGAAATGGGGCCTTTTTCCATTTTTCATCTCCAACTCATCCTTCTAGACAATTTCCTCTTTATATATCTAAACTATTTACCTATTTAAATTTTCTCAAGCTGTACTTTCCAACCACAGTCAAGTGGCAGGTTGAATAGCGCTCCATCTCCAATATGTATCTATCAGCCTCAAGATGCAGTTTTGAATTACAGATTTGGTATAGACACTAAAAATATTTTTCTGTATTTTTTATTATTCAACACCCATTATCTATCTGTTATTTGAATGTTTCAACGGCGAATAATATTTTATGGGTTTTTGGATTTCGTGCAGATTTTCATACCAGAGCATAAAAATGGTGTTCTGGGTTTTCGATTACGGATCATTACTACGATGAAAAAATAATTGGGTAGCATGCCGAACATATCATGGGAAAATGTCTCAGAATCTGTGGTACATCATGCTGAACACGGGAAGCCTTCAGGTGTAGCCCCGATTCTGTTGTGTCAACGTAGAGGACGTGGGGAAAATGCCGAACACGGGAATGGAAACGGAAAAATTGGGGAAAATGATGAAGGCTTTCGGCCGAAGGTGCGTGCCCAGTTATCTTGCCGTCGACAAAGAGGGAATGGAATGGGAATGAAACTGACAAAATGGACGGAGACGGAATGGAACGAGAATGGGAAAATTGGGGGGAAAGGGACGTGGTTTTCCCGCTTTTTGCCGCTTTGTGGGTCTTCCATTTTGGGCAGCACTTATTTTATTTTTTAGAACTTCCAGCTCAGCTTTTGTCCATCCACCTCAGATTTTTCAAATTTTCTGTAAAACTTCTGTCAAAACCAATCTGTTAGCCCAGCATTTTCCAGAGTGATTAGACTATTTCTTGATGAGTTCACATTACAGGCCTGCTTCTTGTCCATGTGGCGCCCCTGTTTTACCCCATGTGGCCAAACCTAGCCATATGGCTTTTTTCTTCGCATTAACCATGTGGAATCACGGTGTCGTTGCCTGCTAGTAAACATAGTTGTACGGTGGATGTAGTACGATACGATTGCGATCCCCAAAGTCAAACGTACAATTATGTTACAAATATTTTATACAAATTAATATGAATGCTAGGCACATCATATGGATATACAAAATCATTGGAAGAAAGAACGTAATTTTATCTATCTAGGTAATTAATACATAAAAGCAAAAGGTTGTTAACAATAATTGAAACAAATTATGTTACAGGAATATAAAGTTTGACATAATATCACATAATATTTTATCATTGAACAATTTTAGACATAATCAACTTTTTCATTTAATCACTTTCTTCTACATGCAAATTATGTCAAGCTTTCTATTAAAGTAACTTTATCCAATCGGAACACGTGTGAAAAAAAAAACAAGAAAATTGATGTAAGTTTGTAAAAATAAAAAATGTAAAGTGCTGCTTTAATTATTGAATACTGCTACTTGCATTAACGTTGGAATTGTCGTTGGTTGTGTTGTCACTGATGTTCGGATGTGTGCCACCGATGATGGAGGTGATTGCGGCGGCCAGGGCGGCGGTGAAATTAGGATCAGCTGTAATGGCTGCTGCGGCAGCACTAAGCGTGTTGGTAAAAGACTTGTGGAGTTCGGCCTGGCTTGGCAAGGCAGTTTCGATATCCTGAGACATCTGGAGCCCTGAAAATTTCGACCCGAAAACTTGAGCAATTGGTGGAGTTGGCAGTGGCGAAGGGACTTGGAATTGGGCAGGTGAAGTTCTTTGGAACTGTTGTAATGAATTTGGAGGTTGTGTGAGGTCTAATGTGACGGTAGGAATTGGTGCAGAGGCTGAAATTGTAGCAATGTTAGACGAATAAGGAAGAATAGTTCTCGCCGGAAAAGTTGTATTCAACAATCCATCAGCACCCGTGGTGGAGCCGCAAAGGAGCATATTGGCGGCGGCAGAGGTGGTGGACGCCATAGCCATGGCGGCCTGAGGCAGTGGATGACTATGTGTACCTTCATAGCTAGTAATCAAGATTGTTTTGTCTTCGGCACATCTTTGTACCTGTAATAGGTTAACATCGAGCGCTAAGATAGAAGTTCTCAACAAGGTTTCAGAACCCAAAAAAGATTACATCCGTCTGAAAGTTCAACGAGCATGAAAATAATAATGAAAATGAACATACTTGTTTGCGTACGGGACAACCAACCGCCATAGTGCAACGGTAATAAGCTCGTGGACATGGATTTCCTTTTGCCATTTTTTGTCCATATTTTCTCCATTGGCATCCATCGGATATCTATAATCAATCGCATATAGATTTAGCTCCAGATAACAACATATGACGATGACCAATAAAATTAGGATCGACTACTTTTTGTAACTTCATTTTACTTATTATTAGTAAAATATACAATAGGCGATCAGATTTAGTGCTTATTCTTGAAAAGAATAAGTGATTACCATCGGAGCTTCTGATATCGCTCGAATTGAAACCCGAGCTTTCCTCATAGTAGCCTCGGGGGTTTGATAGGGATTCAATTTTGGAACCTTTTTAGAAGCTAAGCCATGCGATTCCGGGCTCTCTTCCCTTCCAATCCTTTTAGTCCTTGACAATTCCTTTTCTGATCTATCTGATTTTGAATTTTCTTGTTGCTGCATAAATTCTACAAACTGCAAATGTAGTGAATTGTAATTGTTGTTGACCTGAGTAAGCATCCCTCTTAATTTCTGATTATCGGAATTCATTCGTTGAATCTCTACTTGCAATTGTGACAACTAAATCCAGAAATATGCAAAGAGAACCAAATAAGAAATCAAAGCTTGTAAGACTAATTATATAAAAATATATTCAACAATTTCACTCTTATTATCTCCTTACTTCATTCTTGGCTGGCTTATCCTCCACATGATCCGATGAAATCCTGTCTTCAACCGCAGTAACAAGTTGCAAGCCAGTCTATATTAAAGAAAAAAGATAAACATAAATCCAACGTGTTTGCATAGCACAACTCGAGATTTTAACTTCTATTTGTTACTGTTCAACGTTTTCACTACAAAGTACATAAGTTAATGAAAAGACTACGTACATGATCAGCAATAGGCTTCTTCTTATCTGAAAAGAAGTCTACTGCACCTAAAGCGATTGGTTTCTCGTCAACCGGCGACGGATTCACAGGAAACATAATATCCTTAGTTTGATGATTCAATCTTGGACTTAAATCCAATCTGAAAAACCCGACTCGATCAGAATTTTCGACGGTAAGACCGCATTTATTGTCCATCAATCAAGAAACAAAGAAAGAAAATATCAAGCATGCAAACTAATAGTGATTTGAATTCTTAAAAGAAGGCAATGTCAACAGTTAATATACATATATATATAGTGACGTAAGGTTGTGCGTCAGTTTTTGTTGCCATGTGGCAGTGGAGCCCACAGTTTAGAATTATATAGCGAGGGACGGGGGGAGAGAGAGATCTCTTCGTCGAGACCGAGTTTGACTCGTTCGTAATAGAAAAACACAGAGGGAGATGAATCCACCGGCCCCCGATATATGCGGCGGGTTCCACGCGATGAAAATGAACAGCAGAAAGTCAACGGATTTGACGGCCTATCTTTTGTAGGTGGCTGACGACTCGGCAACAGTGTGAAAGCTTGGTGGCGCGTAGTAAATACTCACTTTTTTGTTCGCGTAGAGGAAGAGGTTAAAGCGAGTAGATTGGTCAACTGGAGACCGCGTCACTTCCTTACAGGCTCCGATACTTGACTAGTGATGATACTTTACCGTCGGTATAAATAAGTTCTAATTCTTTGTACAAAATTGTTCTGACGGAAGAAAATCAAAAGTCTCACAAAGGGTCGACTTCATTGCGGGATCGATGTAATAAAAAATGACAAAAAAATTTCGACCCCACCCATGTGTGAGACTTCTGTAAGAGATCTGTGAGCTAGGATTCTGTACACCCAACTAGATTCTTCTAGGAATAATAATACTTCTCAATCTTATATAATGATTCCATATAGCTTAAACAAAGTTGTCGGAGCGTGTCTCTTCATTTTCCCGGGCTAGTTCTTGGACTAAGCTTCAGTTTGATAAAGTATTTTGAGATTATAAGTTGGTGAGTCATATCAAATGCAAGATTAAAAAATTGAAGACAATGAAATGTGTAGTTAATAATGAAGTTTGATCAATTTATAATTTCAAAAAAGCTTTGTCAGGGTCTAAGTATGTGCCTATGTGATTGATGAAGGATAAAGGTTGGGCCGTGAAGGAAGCGTGTGATGACCACAGGGTTGAGAAACCCAAGTGCCAAAGGTCGAGACTGGGGTTGTACAATACATTTTCTTAATATTTTATAGTGTAATTTAATTTGCGATAGAAAAATATAATCTACATTTTTTGAAGGATAAACATTGTACAATTCTTATTTGAATCGTTGGTGCACAAGAAAATTCTAACAGCTAAGGCAATTAGCAAAACACTTTTACATTTCTTGCTTTCATAACTAAAATTCAAATGGTTGAATTTCTAATGAATTTAAGGGGGTGTATTCAATTGAAATTTTTGAAAACCTTGATAGACTTTTTTTAAGTGATGACTTTTGTGAATTTCTTAGATTTTTTATAGATTTGTATGGAATTAGTGGAAGTTTTTCGTAGATTTCTATGGATTTTCATTTTAAAATTTTTATTGACTTTTGTAGAATTCAAAAGGTTTTTGAAGACCTTTATTTGAAATAGAATTCACGTGGATCTAGTGTTAAATTCCTACATACGAGATGTTAGTTCCCACAATGTCCCTTTTTCTTCCCATAAATTTAATTATGTATTTTTCATATAAAATTTAATACTTTAATAAAGAAAATAGACATTTTATTCGAGCTGTCACAATAAATCATGGCAAAAATTCAAGCCAATGACTTTAAAGAAGCACTTCTTGAAAGACAACTTATATCCCTTCCTTATTACTTAGTTTTAGGATTGTTTATTTTATTGTCGTAACATTCTCATTGTGTTGTTTGTAGAAAGATTCTTAAGTTTTAGTGAAACAACGTGGTTAGAAAGTCAACACTTATCTACCTCCCCAGGGCAATGGCAATGATACTAACTGACGTGTTTAGGAAAGTCCTAACCCCTTACTTGTATTTATTTTAATATTGGGGATAATGCATGTTTCATTTTTGGAGGTGAATCATCAATTGTTAATTGTTGTTGTCATTTATTTAATATTTTGTGTTTGTGTGCTTGTGTGATATGATTTGATTTCATGTGAATTGTGTGGAAAAAAATTTATTTGTATGCATCCTTGTATTAATGAGATAGCCTTGTCGGTTAGGATGAATATAATTGAGAGCATATAATAGTTTATAGATTGTGGATGAATCATGTACTTTGGTTGAATTTTCTGCTTATTCATGTGAGTCGTGATAATATTTATGCGCGATTATTAAATTTAGCATCGTATAAGAACATGAAGATTCATATTTGTAGACTGAGTAGATGATTTAAGTGCTTAATTTCTTAACCCATGATTCACAATATCCTTCAATTGTGTATATAATAATTTGGAGTGTTCTAGCCGGTAAAAGAAATGATTTAAGATTGTGGTGCTTCCGCGCATATGAAAAAGATTGTATGGAGTCTTTCTTTCTAGTATGAACTTGGTGATGACTAATTGCTATGGACTAACCCCTTTAAATTATGCTTTTCTTTTATAGAAAATAAGCATTGTACTTACTCAGTTTACACCTCATGCTTGACTTTTTGATTTAGTAAGTCCTTAGGGTATCTTGAAACTTGGTACCTTTCGATATTCAAAAATTGAGGAGTTAATGCCCAAAGCTCATTATGATAAGTGTATTTTATACACTTATTTGGGGGCCCAAAATAGCAATATCTGATAGTCCTTTTTAGGAAATCATATCGTAAATTGTTGTATTTTATGTTTTACAGGTAAACTCTATAAATGAAAAGGAATTGAGGAAACGATAAAGAAAATGACTAACTTGCATTAATTAAAATAAACTGTGGCCTTGGAAGATAAATTTCAATTAAATTGGGCCTCAACTTGGTGGTTTAGGTTACACACATACATACACACACTTGGAAAAGGCAAGAGTGAGAGAATTCTTATACAAAAAGAGACAGGCAACCAGGAAAGGAACATATACACGCTTAGGGCTGCTGGCTGGGGAAAAAAACACAAAAATTGAAGGGCAATTGGCAGCTGAATTAGAGAAAATTTTGAGGGAGATTATACATGCAAACAAATGAGGAAAATGCTGAAAATTACTAATGGAAAATACACGTGATCGGTGGCTTAATTGACAGAGAAAAAGACACATAAAACGGTAGTTTGCTGGAGAAATTACTAGAAGAAAGACGGCTCTTTTGGAGAAAAAATCATTCACGTTTCGTCAATTTTTTGTGATGTCTTTTCACTTTTGCGTGTTTAACTTCGACTTTATGTTTGGCTAAATTTTTTATTGTTAGGATATGATGAACCCTTGTTATGAAGTTTTTGGTTTAAATAATTAAATTGATGTTAATTTGTTTAATTGTTTGGATGTTTATTATGGTTTAGTTTCCTATTCAATTACTTGGCCAATAATTGAATTGTTTATGGGTTTTATTATCATCGAGAGAGATATATAATCGATATCACATAGTGATAAAGATTATGAATTTCGATAGAGGATAGAGATATACGCTTCACACGATTTTTATAGAAGTTCTAACTCGTTTAATGCTTTCTTGAACGTTCGTATTTTTCATAAAGATATAGGAAGGTCGTGTGTAAGATTAGATTTAATTGCTATAGAGAGAAGCTTTTAAATAAGATAAGAATATTGACCAAGAATCATAATTTCAAATTGTCAATTTAAATTGTTGAACTAAAAAATGGATTAGCAAGGGGGATTCTAAATTTCAGCATTACATCTCAAGAATTTGATAAATTTTCTTCACATTGCTTTTAAATTAGTTGATAACTTTAATAGTGTTTAGTGACAACTCGATTCTGCTATTCGATTAAGGGTTGTGTTAGCTTTAACGTGATCGAACACATAGTTCTCGTGGATTCAACACTCTACACACCACTTTGTTACTTGTTCACGATCTCGTTCACCTGCAGGAAATCAAATGATCACAAAGATTAAGAAGGGGGAAAAAGGGTGATGTCAAAATTGAGCCAAAAAGAAAATACGAAAGGCTTTGTAGAGGTAGAGGCATAGGCAAACTATCACTATTGGAGCAATCATTATGATGGAAGGTACTGCAATAAGAATAGTGAAAAACATAGGAGGTACTGTTGAAACCAACACCCACTGCTTCCTTAACTCAACAAATATCAACTTGTCTTTAACTTTATTAGCCCTACTAGTAGTTGTCCTGATAGGAAGCGGCTGATAAAGAGGAGGCACAACAATTGGGAAAGTTTGAGGTGTTCTTAATGTATACTGATTAGAGTAGTGGCCAAATATCAACATTAAAAGCAATGATGGGCTGTTGAAAATTGCAGTTGCCATTATACTCAATCTATACCTTGTTAAGAAATCTATGCTCTAAGTTTACCTCAATACAAACCTTATCCTCTCTAGATCGTTTCAAATCAGAAGTTGCTTAATCAATCCTCAAGAGTATCTCCATAGCTCTAGATAGAGGAAATAGGACTCCTTTAGCAGAAAAATGAACCGAAAGCAAATGAAATGAAATCCTAACAGGAGTAATAGAAGTCTCATGCTCAGGTCAAAAGACATAAGTCCATTTAAGGACCCTCTTTGGACACTCAGTAATGTACCATGAAGGCTTAAGAAATAATCTAATGTAATTATCCTCATGTGTACGGTATATAAGTATGTGGGTCAAGTCAATCAAACCAAATTCAGAGTAACCATGGAAACTGAACTTCTGAAAAATCTCAAGTACCTTTATCTTAGTTGGCTTGTGGGAGAATTTATCTACAAGTGTGTATTTTTAGGGCTCAGCAAGTGTAGCCTCCTTTGAAACTGTCAAGTCAATGGCTAGCTCTCCCAAATGAGTAAATGGTTCTTTACTTCTTAACCCAGTATCTGCGAGATCTACTAAAGCCTTTAAAATTGTAGCAGATGTCTTCCATGAATTCCTTTTTGCTGACGAAGAAACTGCATTGGCATAGGTCATTCGAGCCCGATTGAGCAATGAGCAGGCCTCATATGACAACAAAGATGGTAGAAATGGACCTAAATTAAATGGATGAAGCTATTGAGTTGTGGTGCCTACTCGAGAGGCAGCCCTTGTGATACCTCTGGGTTGGCTCGAAACACATTTGATGTCCAAAAAATCTACATTTTAATAGGTTGAAGCGAAAGTTCAT